GTTATGAGCAGGAGCAGCCTCGCCGTTTTGCATAGAATGTAAGCCAAAGCTCGAACTTCTTTCACCATGTCAAACTCCAGAATGTGTTCTGCTCATCGTTGAGTTCAGATCAAAAATTATCCTGGTCGACGTGTCTTGATGAGGCAGGATTTTTAGGAAATCGCTGGAGGATCTTCTTTTTCAAGCGCGACAAGGCCGGACGTTCAAAGATAAAAATCTGTTGTATTCATAAAACCATACATTGACTGTATGCATCTATTTTTGACTACGGTTAACGATACGAAAAGCCTGTTGTATCCACAGCCTGTAAAACCTCATCCACGTTTGCCATAAACGTCGTCCAATCCTCTTCTTGAACAGCAGCGTCGAACGATTGAATATTCACCTGTGAGTTGACTGCCGGGTACTCAGAATCTACACCCATATGGTGATCTTCTACTCCATACCAATGTCAGTGTTTTGTTCACAGTTTGCGGGTTTAACCACGACGTACCGCCTGCAGTATAGTTTGTAAAATCGGAGGAATAAGCCTGCTCCGGTCTGATGACACTTTGAGAAACTGTGGTTCTCGGGTGAATGTTGGGGTGGTAAAGAGAAGAATTTTCAGGAACATCGCCAAAATTGGAAGTGGTTGGAAGACTTGAGCTGGAACTGCTGTTATCGTTAGGCACTTGTCCAAACAAATCGTCGGGACTAGATGCAGAGCCGGTCGACACAGAAACTGCGGTATCACTAGGGCTTGCCCGGGTAGCACTTTGTCCGGAAAAATAAAGCTCAACCATGTATATCATCGAGCTCAAGGCGTCGCTTCAAGCCAAAGTCAACACAAGACGAGAGTGAATAACAAAAAGCGGCTCACTTGATCCTTCCTGCTATCTGATATCTATCCGACAATTCCATAAGTCTACACTGTACACTATTGTGAAAGGTATACTCACTTCTTTTCATAACGTGCGGTTGCCTTCAAGGAGTGACGTACGTCATCCATATCTTTGCTTGTATCTTGTGGAACGATCGAGTACTTGTTTCTCCAGATGCTCATGAGTAGCACGATTGCAGCGACGTAAACCGGGGACTTCGAAGTCAAAATCGTCTTCTGATGAGGCATGTGGAAGAAAGATGAATACTTACCGTAAAATTTGGGAGGATTTCAAAGTCAATCCGTTCAATAACCTCAAGTATCCTGACCACGCTTCTGCCTGCGTTAGCGCAGATCGCAAGTGAAGGGAACTTTAGCATTGAGGTTTCATTGGATCGGGGGATGAATTGTTTGTGTATCTGTGCAAAACGGTTGTGTGAGATACTGAATGTTCACTCTTATATTATAATTCAGACTTTCCAACACACCTGTATTTGCGTCCAATAGTAGAAACAATAAAGTATACAGGACTGACGGTGGAACAAACCGTCTTCTCTATTAGGATCCCATTTCACTGAATATGTCAAACAAAAATCAATAACTGATTTCGTATCGTGACAGGATGACTGACAATGTTCGGGGATACAGGACATCCATTGGTTCAGTGCTGAATTGAGCTCGGTCACAACTTTATGGTCCCAGTGAGGCCCGGAAGGGACCACTTTCTTCCAAATTTGCAGTTTCCTTGCAGAAAACTGGAGTATTGTTACTGAAACCAGTGGCCACACTTGAAAGGACGACTAGCTCACTAGCATGCGATGCCCCAAACCTGCAATCTCAAGGAGTTTTGAATAGCAGATAAAGAACGACATCGTGGAAGGAACCCCAGAAGGCTGGATGAAAGCTCGAGATGGGTCTTCATTCTCCCAATAATCATCGTCGCATTCAATCGGCGGCTCTAAGTCAAAGCTAAACGGTATCTGCGGTCAGATGAATCGGAAACATTGTTCTTATCTTTTGCCACTTACTCATCATCTGTAGTTGCCCGAGGTCGTCCAAAATTTATACTCACTAGCACATCAAAGCCAAGCAATACCCAGAATGCACGTCTCCAAAGTTCGGTCTGAACCGTACGCGCTTGCCCTTTTTGTTTTCTGTGTACTCCCATTTCTTGTGCGAATCGTATGCCCAGTCCTATTACTCCCCATGTTGAATGGAACATGGACGTACCCTTAAGGTATAATGCGGACAGCTATCATTAAATGATATCAGCACTCGTATCTAGATCCACAATCTCCAAACACATACGCAGCAATGCTGTAGTTGATACAGAGTAGGTGGTTCAACATCAACAGCTTGTACTTGAGAAACTTGCTGATACCACGTCCAGCCAAGAGAATTCTCAGTGTTCACTCCTTCGACGTAGTTCCGAGGATCTTTAGAGAACTGAGACGCGATCGCACAAACACATAAGACAACACTTCCAAAGCCGTAATCTTGAATGTGCAAATGATCCGATAACGCTGTAATGAACGTTGGTCGATGCAATAGGGGAAGGTATGGATGGACATGCACGAAGTAAAGATCGATAAGGCTCCAAAGCAAGTCATCTGGGGGAAATCTGAGAGGTCGTTGCTGGTCTAATCTCAAAATTTGACGCTGCCACTGAAAAGAATATTGATATTGTAGTCCCAGTTCATTCAAAAGTGAGGCGAACTCACAGGGTACACAGTCCAGAACTCTGGCCTTCTATCCACAACCTGCATAGGCTGGTCTCCCATTACTTCCTTCTTGATGTCCACCGCTGTCCTCATTAACACAAGATTACTTGATTTACCGAAATGTCGCCGCGGTGACTCCGTCTTGTTATTGAGTGTGAAGCCTTGCACGGATGTAGCAAGTACATCATCCATCGGTATATCTTCTGACGAGTCGGATTCTTCGGAATCACTCTGTGAACCTATTGGGGGGTACGGGACAGAAATCTCCTGAACAGTGCGCCGCCATCGAGACATTTGCCTCTCTAGTCCCCGAACACATTGGGAGAGATCAACAAGCATTTTGCGGATGACGCCCGGATCATCTGGGATAGGATAAGATTTTGGTTCAGCCAGTACAGCTGTAATTAGCGCTTGCACTGATTCAGAGGGATGTTTCCGAATAGTTCTGAGCGTTGCGTTACTGGTAAACGAGAGGCTATATTTATCTTGCATTAACTTGAGGCTCACCCGACTCGAGGTCCGCGTTTCTACAAGCTCATCAATATCATTGCGCCCGCTGACTTACTAAACGTACCTTATGTTCAGCATTATGAGTACACTCTACCTCTGCGTTCTGGCAATTGTAGCATATGTTTCCTGGCCTTGTTGCGCTGTCACCTGGTCAGTGACGCTTGTGAGAAGGATATTTGCATCTTCAGGTATCAAAACTCACATCGAACTTTGCGCGGGATGGCACGATATTTGTAAGGCACTTTTTATCGACAAAAATCAGCGGATATTTACCTTTCTTTAGGGCACAAACATGAATTTCATAGATGTTAGGACAGGTGCAAGGAGTCATACCTTTTTTCTGCAAAAATCGCATGCCCCTTGTGCGCGCCGCTTTCTGTCAGTGGGGTATGGATACATAGACGTGAATGAGAGGGAAAACACTGACAGAGTGCTTTAATTAATAGTATCATAATCAGTGTACAGATCCCGTTCAGCACCGCAATGATTGAATGAGTAAACGGGGAAAATTGTATGTATTTCACGTGGCACGAGTACTCTAACTGTTAGCGCCGCGATTACCTTCTTCGAAACTTCAGTTCCTCGACTGTATTATATATGTATCTCTGACTCTGTATCTATTTCTCAGCCAATATTAGCCAATAGGAAGACTACTCCGCGTAATTTTGATCCTAACTTGGCGGTTCAAACTTTCCAGTATTATAGCTTAGGATTACCGTCTGCGGGGAAGTGGTACATTACGCGCTTCTGGCTTCTGGCTCCATGGTTCGAAATCGGAACAATGTGGGACTGCAAATATGCAAGCTGAGGATATAAGTCCCATGGCAAGACGGGTAAGCAGTTCAAGGTTATGGACGTTGGTATGGCATCTATCTTTCAACAGATTTTGCTCAATTCATGTTTCGACTTCGCGGTAGGTAATTGAGAAATATACCCTTTGGTTACAGTTTGATTGATACTGTCCCTTAAAAGAACTTTCACGCTCTCTCGTACTGTATCGGCCGTCCGTTGGATTATGGGGATGTCGTTGAGCAGAGTGAACAGCCTGTAATTCCGTTCCCCCTCAACTCAACGAGAAAGACTTAAAATATCATCTCTTTCTATTCTTCACAGGCAGTGCGATGCTCAGGGTACCATGCAACGCCGTGACCTTGTCCGAAGCCTGCAAATAGTGTTCAAACGCATGGATCTCTTCCAATTCTACCTCGATTAGCTGGTTCAATAGTATTTTTGACCCAAGGGGTTTTTCCATCGGCGGTCATATCAGGCGTTCAAGAAGAGTAAAGCTGCAGGCCCGTGAAGCAACGGCAAACAGTATACACGGAGGAGGCATCTTTACTTATCTTGCAGCTTGCTGTTACCAATCACTTGGGCCTACATATTTTAGAGTTGAAAACCGGTTAATTGAACGGAAGAACAAGTCATCGTTCTTACGCATTTTGGAGCTCGTTCGGAGGTCAGTTGAACACCGACTGATTGTGACGAGTGCATGATGTTTCGTATTATGTATTTAGGAGGTTTTAGTCCAAGTCTATGGAGGAGTGGGAGTTGGAAGCTGGATCTGGAGAAGAATGAGTTCAATGAATTATGAGGCCCTCAAGCATCCGTCGACAACAAACTGCAAGCATATGGCACACCGGAAGGTAATCATGCTCGGCAGATTGAGAAAGTGTGGAAAGGTTAGGAGACTGGGCGATAAGCCTTATCTGGTTGGTTTTTCGCAGGTCAAAAAGCACCATTGCGGCCACCTATGAGCAGATTTCCGTTATTGGTGCGCAGTCATTATTGATGGCCATGATATGGCGCAATTTCAGCTGCTGTTGGCGCAATTTGAGATAATGGACCCGAGTCCGCTGTGTACAGTGGCGTCAACTAATATAGTGTATGACATATTTACTCAAATTAACATTGGCCGACTAGCTCAGTTGGTTAGAGCGTCGTGCTAATAACGCGAAGGTCTTGGGTTCGATCCCCACGTCGGCCACTTCCTGGATACTTTTTATTTTTTTTGCCCAACATTTGAGCATATTGTTATCTTCGTGGCGGTCACAGCCATATTAATGTTGAGTCTACTTCTACATACTGTAAGAAGTGGGAACTCTTATCACTTTATAACGCTCCTTCATTCGCCTCGAAGCGTTCCAAACTTTTCTCCACCTTCGATGCATCCTCCATGTTTTCGTCGCTACTGACCCCTAGCTCCTTTCCCTCCCTCTCACACCTCTCACAAGGGCACGCAAATTTCCAGCCACGAGCAAGCTCCATTCTCCTTCTTCTCCTGCAATCAACGACGCTTTCGCCCTCATGCTGCGTCACATCAACGTACGCCACCGTAAGCTCTTCACCGGCTTTGAGGTCGCGCGTGGCTATGAGGTGCAGTTGAGAGGTTCCAGCATCAAAAGAGGGGCGAGCGCTAGGTTCACAGGAATGTGCAAGGTAAGAGGAGACGGTGTATACTGCGCTACCGATTTGGCGGGAGGTTCCAAGGGGAATACGGGTTCTCTCAATGTCTTCTGGACGATCGTTCGTAAGAGGCTGAAGAAAGCGTTTTAGCTCGTACTTTGGCGGATAGAGAATTCGCACCTTGTCATCACGTCCACCATTATAAAATACACCATATGCATTGTATGCCATCTTACCCAAAAGGGTAGCATACCTCTCATCCGTAACCAAAGCGTCTAAACCAGGCATCGCACTATTCAACACCTCTGTCAACAGGTTCAAACCGTTCTTTGGTAAATTCACATCAACATATCTCAACCGCTCAAAATGATCAGCAAGAAGGTAATCTCCACCATCGGCGTCAGTAAAATCTGCCTGATCGCTTATAGTCGTTGTCTTCGTCGACGTTGAAGATATCAACTTAGACATCTCGACATTGACCTGACGGGCGATGAACCGAGCGACGAGAAGAGGCGCTGCGTGGCCAAGCGCTTCTGTTTTGAGGTAGGTTGCGAATTGTGCTTGGGCTTTGCGTCGTTCGTCGAGTTTCTCGGGAGTGATAGGATCCAAAGGAATTTCCTGAGGTAAGGGACGTTCGAGGGTGAAAAGAAGATTGTGGTGTTCGAATTTGGCGGCAGATTGGCAGGCGACAGAACAGTAGAAGGTTTCCAACGCAGGGCTTTCGGGTGATTTGATAGACATAGAAGGTTCGACAGCACGGAGACAATGGGAGCAGTGAGTTCCTGCCGCGTGCAGGTCAGAGTCGAGAGCAGCGACGATGGGGAATTCCTGTGATATCGTTATTCATCGATGAGCGGGTATCAAACTCCAATAACACATACCTTGTAGATGACTTCACCCGCTTTGACAACCTTGGTAAGGACCAAAGCTTTCTTTGAAATATCACCCACTTTGCGAGTTTCTACCTTGACACCAAGTGATTTCGGGGGAAATTTCAGATAATACCCTACAAAAGATTGCACAAGCTATAACTGTGCCCACTCGAGCTAAATCTCACACGATCTTACCTTCGACTCTGTCTTTTACCTGAAATGATAGAGAAATAGAAAGAGAATATATTAGAACAGATTGGCAAGACGATCAAGCAAAGCAAAATGCGTAGAGTTATATCCGTGGTAGTTCTGACTACAACTTTTTGACATGGAGGGTGTACAGATGGCGATGATTATTTATATCATTCATGTGGAGATCTTGTCCCACTCCTGCGAAGATGCCTCAGAAGGAGGCCCTCTGACCGGACTCGTTTCGTCGTCGAGGTCGTCCATGCTAGGGTTCGGAACAGACATACTCACATCAAGATTGGTTAATTCAATGACCAGCTATATGGTGAAACAGATGAGAACGCGTCGAGTGGAGACAACCAAACAATACGGACCTTGAAGACTGGTTCCGGGACAGTTTTTTGGTATATCACCATCAGCTCCACTGGAGATGGGTAGACTCGGAGGGCACGGTAGAAAGCTAGGGCTGCCGGAAGGCTGAACATAGGACCTACAGTATATCATAATTAGTTGACGAAGACGACGAGCGTCAAATTGTCCGCACCCTGGAGAGATAACTGTTCGCCTGAAGCGACCTGACTCATGAAGTATGCCTCCTTGTGCTCGGGCGAAGCGGGAACTTGTTCTGCCTTGACTTGCTCCAAGGCGTCACGAAGTTCGCCAGCGCTCACAGCACTTGAGTCAGGTGGAAGAGAGGCCTTCGAGGACGCAATGGACTTGTCTACGCGTTTTTTGTCCTTTTCTGTGGAGAAAACCCGTTTGAGAAAGAAAACATGAGGCGAAAGCGGCGAGACTGACTTAATTTTTTCCGAAAGTCAACATCATTTCGACGCTTGTAGTCAAAGTAGACAGCATAGGCGACGATACTGAGCGCAGCGATCCCAGCGATAGTGACCACACTGGTCGTCCTTGAACTCATTGATGAAGGAAGAAAGAGACAAGACGTGATGACGAAATTTCGGAAAAGAAGTTTTTGTCATCAAAATCAATTCTGGTAAACAGCATTCTCCTTCCACTCAAGTCATTTCGACTTTTTTTTCCTCGGTCCTGGCCGCCATGAACGGCAGCGACAACGAGACCATTGTTATGACCTCGACACTACATCTTATACCTCTTGCTAACGATGCTGAAGTGGCCGCGGGTCTTTCCGCTCCAATCAACTCAACCAACGACGCTCTTTCCCTGGACTTTCCTGCTTCACAAATTCATGATGAAAACAACGATTATACGGCGTTGACAGATGGAAATAGTAGTCTGTCACTATCTGAGCAAAATGATCTCCTACCAATCAAACACGAGGATGAAGGGTTGGATCTGACCGCTGGTCAGGTTGAGATGCTGGAAACGGATGGGGAGCCCGGCAATGATAGCGGCGGTGCTGGTGTTGTTAGCGACGATGAACAAGAGTATCTTCAAAGCGGTGATCATGAAATGAAGCGCGTCAAGGTTTGTATAACCACTCGACTGACACGCGTGTGTACTTAAACAGTTTTCTCTAAAAAAAGGTATACGTGCTTGTTGGTTCTCAATGGATGGACAGAGGGACCGCTTTTTGCTTCGGTCATACCTCCGAGGATGGATCTGAAGCACTTCTGACGGCCCGTTCAGAAAAGAATATGGAAGATATCATCCTTAGCACGACCATTCGCACGACTGACGTTTACCAACGACAACAAGGTCCGACTCATATTTATACTCGTGTGCATGCGCTTATATTGCGCCAGAAACTCTGATTGTTTGGACAGAGCCAGATGGTGTTGACTATGCATTAAGTTTCCAGGATTCGGAGGGCTGTGCCGAAGTTTGGAGCTTCATCGTCGACATTCAAAGGCACATGAGTGGCGCTAGTAAGTCTGTCGGTCTTGCGTCGCTCATAGCAAACCCTTACATTCGCGAAGCAGCGGAAGAGCACGGCTCCATTACTCTCGACCCATCTTCTCCTCTCCCAGAGCCTTCGTCCATTGCGACCGCTGCCATTATTCGTACCGGTCACCTACCTAATCCTCACATGGGCATGATTGGAGAAATAGACAAGGCAATCAAGACACTGGCCAGAACGCAACAGGTCAAGGAGAAAATATGTGAATATATCCAAAATGAGGTACGTCTCTTAGATGTCCTTTCATTTTATCGCTGTACCGTCCTACAAATATCAATACATGAGCTTTTTTGTACCCTCTGCGAAGGCTAAGCGTAACTTCTTTACAGGATTATATCAAGCAACTCATCAAAGTGCTTCATCAGGCCGAGGAATCCGAGAGTATAACGAATCTGCATGCACTTTGCAGCCTTATGCAAACCATACGTACGTTGAGCTTGTTTCGGCACCGCACAATCAGAGTTTTCACATCTTCATTGCAGTCATGTTGAATGATCACGGCATATACGATCTAATACTTGAAGATGATTACTTCTTCCATGTCTGCGGCATGCTTGAATGTGTGTCTCTACGTTCTGTTGACGTCTTCACTCTACCATTTCTTACCTTCAGACGATCCTGATTTTCCTGCGCACAAAGCCAACTTTCGCGAATTTCTGTTACAAGGTACCCGCTACCATGAACCCGTCCTTATTCGAGACTTCAGCATTCACCGCAAGATCCATCATACATATCGACTACAATTCTTAAAGGACGTAGTTTTAGCGAGAATATTGGACGATTCTACGTTTAATGTCTTGAATTCTAGTATCATCTTCAACCAGATGGACATTATTCAACACGTTCAACAGGACAACGCATTCTTGCGAGATATTGTCAAGTTGTATGTCGACGAAGATATGCTCTCAGGTGGAGGAAAGAAGGCACAAGCGCAGCAGCATCAGCTTGGTCCCAAAGTGAATGGTCAGTCAGAGTCCTCGGAATCTTCAGACCCGGCGACCGCATCGAACCCCGCGAACGAAGCCCAGCCTCCGCCCAAAGATTATCTACCCCTGTCAACAACTTCTCCGCAAGCTCCCGCCCCTAGCCAACAACAACCATATTCTTTCGCTCCTCCCGAAGATATGTCGGAAGCAGCTCTTGAGCTGAGACGGTCTGTGATATACTTGATCCAGCACTTATGCGTGATGGGAAGGAATGTGCAACTTCCTGCCCGACTGGCACTCTTCAGGACATTAGTTGACCGGGGTGTACTTTTTGCCATCCAATGGGCGTTAGGTCTGTCTGAGAAGGAACCAACAAGCAAGGCGATGATAAGTGCAGGCGGGGAGGTCTTGGCTGCTTTGCTCGACCACGATTTGGGGGGCGTTCGAGGTCATGTATTGAAGCAGGTCGTGGCGATCGACAAGGAAAGGGCGGCAGGGAAGCGAGGAGCCGATAAGGCGGAAACAATTGTAGAGCTGTGCTGCCGGAACTTATCACAGAGTAAAGATTTGGCGGTCCAGAGCCAGATTGGGGATGCGTTGAAAGTATGGTTAGACGTACCCCTTGTGACAGATAACTTCTCCTCGGGAGGTTCTGAAGCCACACAAGTGCGTAATCTTTTTCTTCTACTTGATTGTAGAATCAGAGTTGTAATGG